TCCTTTGTTGACAAAACTCTCTTATCCATATCTGTAAGAAATTATTACAATTATATTTACGGAAATATACTTTGCATATTACCTAAATTGCGCAAGCACACTTTGCTTACACATTACCATTTCCAATTCTACAACCGGAACTACGGGAATACACTGTATATACAACTATAGACTTCAATAAGGATATTTTAATATTAGCTTTATGTTTGAGAAAAAGGATATATAAGATATCATTAGCATTTCACAATAAGGGGGCAATCCGGAACTTAGAAGAACCGATCCCCTCCCTATATTGGGGCAATATGTGCACAAATACGCATTTTTTTTATAATCCAAATATTGTTATAAAATGACGGTTTCATACAATGACTTATTATCAAGATTCAACTACACAATAAACCTCTAAATCACAGGTCGTAAAAAAAAATATCCCGACAAAAAAAACCAAATAATATTATAGCCGAGAAGGGGTGTTCCCGTAGCTTTGGCTCAAAATTCATAACTTCTACAACTTTGCAGCTACAACTCCGGAACGTTTTTCGTATGGGACTTTTACACTAAAAACCTTCCAATTTCGAGCGAAAACTGCGGGAGTCCACTTCCAATATTATTCTTATATGACTTTCAAGCCGGAGCTCTAAAAGGCCTAAATTTTTATTGGAAATTAGTTTTTTTGGCTTGCTGTAATTATATTTCTTTCTTTCGGAAAACTAAACCTGTATACGGTCTTACTCAGATTTTTCCAGCGCTTGGTAACACCCTATACATAAGAGTCGTATAATTTTGGGAGAGTGGTCTCGCTGCGACGTTCGTGGCGAGGCCAGCAACGTTGTGGCCCCCTGTGCTGATCCCCCTGGAGCGCCGTGCTGCTGGCGTTGCAAGCTGGTGACAAGACCCTGCAGGGCATTTTCTATCTTGGTGTGTCCAACCCGCCCACCATGGAAAGCAGGGCGGCCAGGGCGCTTGCGTCCGCCTTGCCGAGGAGAGCAGCGTCCAGGGCTGCCGTGGTGACTGCGCCCAAGAGGGCTTCCGCGATCTTAGAGTCCACCTCTCTGCAATCTAATCTGCGATCCGAGATATATTTCTTGAGGTCGCTGAACACTTGCATGAACCAAGTTTTTATATGCAACACAAGCTTCTTATTTGGTACGGATTACCTTCAGTAGATATAGTACAACTTGGCATATATAGAAACGACACTTTTTCTAACCTTATCTAATTGTTTGTGTGATTTGCTATATATTTCGCTTGTTGTTTGTTATGGATCTCTATCGACAGGTTTGCACGCTTTTTTTTGAGCTGCCGCAATTCCTCCTTGAGCACATCATACGGGCCTAGAAAAGGGCGGCGTTTTAAATAAGTTTTTTGTAAATCTCTTAAGGATACCCCCCAATCTATGATTTTTTTTATTTGGTAATGCTGCTCTAAAACGCCGTGATTTCAAAAGCATGCTTTTAGTCGTTACAAATGATAATTTGGATTGCCGCCGCGGCAACATCGACTTATATCAGTTATTTCATTGATGACGAAATTTCTTTGCGCTTGCTTCTTTTTGTGTAGTTTTAATTTATATTTTGCAAAAGAGTGGCTGTCGCGCGGTGAGGGATGCATAAAAGTCGTAAGCCAACACCAGGCGCCAGGTTGTGGAATTGTCATGAAAGCCCTTAAAATGGAATGGAATGGGATCTTTTGCGTTTTTAAAACAAAAAAAAAAGTTTGTGGTACCTTTTTGGGTTGTTTTTTTGGAGATCCATTTACGGGCACTCCGGGTACCGCGGGCTTCACGGGCACCACGGGCACTCTGTTGCACCCACCGCACCGTTTTATTCTGCTTGTTGGATGCATTGCGCAGAATGTAGATCCTTGACACGGAGAAAAAACAATCGAGTAGCCAGTGTTGTTTTGGCTTCTTGTTTCACAAGGTTTTTTGCGTTTCTGATTTGGCTCTGGCAGCTCCAGCACGCGCAACTTGTGAGCACAGGGAAAGGGGGTTTTCTTTGGCAAGTGTGGACACCGCAAGCAGTCTTACCCACTCTCCCTGTGGAATGCGGCGCAGAAAGTCAAGATCCCAGAGTACCGCTTGCATGAGACCCCCCATGCAGGAAAACATAGTCTTGCATCGTTTTGCGGAAGCCTCACGGGGTTTGTGCGTTTTCACATTTGTTGGCAGCTCCATTTCGATTGTCGCAACTTTTCAGCACAAGTGTGGTGAACCTTTCAGAGACGGATGTGGTGCAGTGGTCTGACGGTAGTACAAGCGTATCGCTTCCGGTCAAATTGATGAGGAGCGGTGCGAGCGCCAAGTCCGGCAAGGCTGCAGAGCTGGCGCCCGGACTGCCTCGCATTCTCCAGACAAGGCAAAGTTTGTACATATCAGACGTGCAAAGGTGACGTGTGGTCACGGGAACTTTGGTGCAAGGCCCGGACCTGGGAGAAGTTGTGATGAGCGACAGAATGCTGCAGTCTTCATCATCCCGGAAGCATGGGTTCTTTGCCTAAAGACGGCTACAAACCTGCAACTCATGCAAACTTTTTGCAAGTTGCCTGCCAGCCTCTCTTCAACACGCAGGGTATCCGCAGAGGTCAAGACAAATTTGAAGTGCGCACCTCGAAGGTTCGCCAAGGTCAACAGCGCCGCGACAAGAGCGCTTTGACACTGACACGCACAATCTCTATCCGGCAAGAGTCGAACAGCTCCGGAGAGGGCTTGCCAAGTCAGAAAAGAATCGTTGTGGTTGTAGCGCACCCCGTGCGGAGGTTCCCGGAGGCTGGGTTGCTTATGTTCTTCAGTATTAGGTGTGTCAGCTAGCGCCGGTCAAGCATGTACTTGGAGGGATGAACACCAAAGCCGAGGACACCAACTGGGGCCTTATTCCTTGTGAGTCCGTTGGGGGGTACTCAGCTTGGTGACGGTGGACCAAATCCTGGTTGGGCAGATAAGGGGTAAGAAGCAGCCCCGTCTTGTCGCTTGGCCTGGCGGATGGCGCTTTTTTTTGGAGATGTTGGCTTTGAAGATTTTGAAGTTCCTTATGGCATTTGGGTTTCTTTTTCATCAGGCATGTATTTGTGGAACATTCGTGCAGCCTTTGTGGAGCCTATGCCAAGTATATCGTCATACCACGGAATAATTGATAAAGTTTTTTTTTGCAAACGACAGGTTCCAATTAAATTGACACAGCATTCTTCTTGATTTCCTCCTCGTGCTTCTCCCATAAAAACCAACTGTTGAACAGAAAGAACCCTGAATGCCTGAAGCCAGGACAAACCCGCTGATTTGGTCCCATCTTATCTTGGTGTCTTGCCAGACTGAGTGTAAAGAATATATATCACAATGTCACGTCATGCAAGACCGCCTAGCTACTTTGGAACAACGCACAAACTCGATCAAAATTTTTCATGGGCTCTTCAAAAGCGGGGAAGAGCAGGGGCGCACGTCGCCCATGACCGAGCACTGACAGAGCAAGACAAGCGGATGGACTACGATGGGACATTGGTTACAGCACAAGCTCCAAGTTCACAGCATGAATAGCGAAAATTCCCAGGCTTGATCGTAAAACTAGTAATCTCTGGAAAACACGTATTTTGAGTGGCTTGATTTCAGGGGTTATTTGTTTGTTTTGGGTTGGATGTGGGTTGGCTCAGGGTAGGATTTTGCGGTTGGGTTGGCCTTAGGGTTGGCTTCATTTGATTTTGGTCGGGGTCAAGTTCAGCTTAGAGGCTCAGTCAGAGTCACGGTGTGCTTGGAATGGGATCAAGGTAGATTCATGGATAGAGTGGGGGCAAGAATGGTCTAGGGTTAGTTTTTGCTGGGCTTGATTTTAAGGGTGGTTTGGGATTGGTTAAAGCTAGGTTGAGAGTGGGTTTAGGATTGGCTTAGGGTCTCTTTAGGGGAGAGGATTGGTTTTGGGTCGATGGGTCTATTCAAGATTTTAGGTTAGGCTTGGGATTATATTAAAGCTAAAAAAGGATGGGATTGGGGTGGGATTACGGTTATAAGTTTCGGGCGGGTTTAGAATTCGTATAGGATGGGCTTAGAGTGGGTCCAGGACTGGTTTAATGGTTGGTTTAGTTAATTTTATTTAGGGTCGGTTTGGAATTAATTCTGGATGGGTTAAATATATATATATTCGGATGGTTTCGAATTGGTTGGGAATTAAAAGATTCAATTAAATTTTGATTATAAATTCAAAAAACAATTTCAATATAAAAAATATAAAACACAAAAATACCAATTTAATACACTTAAAAACAAAAACAAAAAACTTAGAATCAAATAAATAAAATTTCCATAAACAATTTACCAATTAAAATTTAAACATAACGAAAAAAACCAAAAACCATCCTAAATATATTTTTTTTTCAACAAAAACTAATAATTATATTCAATTCCCAAAATATTTTTTCTAAAATCTACCAATTATTTCAATATTTATATTCAAAAGCATTTTTTTCAATAAAATGCAAAAAATACAATAATACATTATTAAAATTTTCATAAAATATCCAAATTATCATAAATAATTAATTCATTTAACATATATAATTAATATCTTCCAATATAATCAAACAACTTTCAATAATAAATTCATTTTCCCAAAATATTCCAAATTAATTTTCCAATATCCATTTTTTTTTTTTTTTTCATATTATATATATATATATTATATTATATTTGTTTTAATAAAATAAAATTGTATTTGTTTCTTGTTTTTATATATATTTTATATATTTTATAAATACACATTTTTTTTTTTCCATAATACTCAATATCAATAATACATCTTTTAATATCATCCTAAACATCAATAAAACAAAATATATCCGAAATTCATAAATATTAATAACCAAATTCGAAAATCTTCATCATTTATAATAAATAAATCTTTTGTGTTTAATTTTTATCATTTAACTAAGCAACACCAATCATATCTTTGTCCAAAGATAGCATAAACATACTTATATTCGGTCGGATTCATATTGTATTGGGCAATGTTGTTTTTGATTCGCTCTTCATCTCATTACTGTCCAAACAAAGTTGATAAAGAAAAGATGTTGACAGCCCAAAAGGCCGTAAAGAGCCACCAAATCCATTTGTCGAGGCTAATTGAGCTTCGCTTCGCGTTCAAAGACACGGCACACTCTCAAACCACCAGCTGTAGTGGACTCCACAATCCTCAGTTCTCACCACAGGTTTAGCGGACCAGAGGATGCCGAGACGTCATAGAGTGGAAGGTGGTTTTGCAGGTCTTCCACGAAAATAAGGGTCGCCAACAACGAGCCATCTTGCAACACGCGACACCCAAACAGCGTGTTTTACTCGGGGACCGATAAATCAATGTGAAACGTATTCAGGGGCAAGCTCGTGAACTTCTGTCCGACTCAGTCACCTGTCCTCAAGGTCTGTTTTCCATGAACTTAATCGAAAATGCCAAAGCCAACTGAACTTTTCCGTGCCGACGCCTTCACGGCGTCTGCAAACGTCCTGTTCCCAATGGTGCAGCGTGCTGAATGCCGCTCGCTTGCCACTTGCGTTGCAACTCGCCGGGTCGTGGGAATGACAGGTGCAAAGGACCACGCCACGCAGTCCTTTCGCGAACGACAAGCTTCAGAAAACAGACGCACGGCAGCCCTTGACCACGAAACTTTTTCTGGGATCCAGGCATTCTGGAGCCTTGGAAGAAGCGGCGGTTGATGGGCAACGCTTTCAGCGTGTCAGCCCACCTCAGCGATGGCCAACAGAGTCATGGGAAGGTTTAATAAACCGTGGCCCACATCCAGGGCACACAGAGAATAACATTTTGAGTGGACAGCCGTTTGGTTGAAGACAACGATGTAAAAAAGCCGTCAAAAAGGGGATGAAATCATTGCGACACGGCTTGTCCAGCGAATTCTTCTTGCTTGACGCTTGCCCAAACAAAAGAAAGTTTCATGTCGTTTGAACTTCTGAAGCTGTGTTTGCCGCTGTGTTGGATGCAATTCGACAAACTTGTGCTTTTGTTTTTCTTTGACACTTGACATCCCCTACTACATCCGGGAAAGAAACCCGAAGGACTCGACTTGGAGCTCGAGAACTCGGCTTGAGGTTCCCGGCTTGCCACAAACCTGTAAGGCTTGGCCGTTCCAGTTGGGCACCACTTTCATGGCCCGGCCTTCCATTGGATCCACCTCAACGCGACATCGCCACGGGTGTGCGTGTGGCTTTGATTTGAGGGGTCGAAAGAGGTGCTGTTGCCCCAGGCCCAGGTCGTCTTTGCGGGTGTTTGTGCTTATCAAGGGCGCCGTTTCAGGCCGCTTAAAAGGGATCCACTCGACTTCCGTATTCTAACTGCCCAGCTCGTCCAGATGCTGTGGCTTTTCAGGAACTGTTTGGCCGCTCGTGAGATTTCTGAGTTTCCTACTTGTGGACTGAGCTTGCCCAAGTCGGTGCTGCTTTGTGGGTAACCGCAAATCAGCCTTACTTAGGCCAACTAACCCAAATCAGGCATGCGAGTTTTGGGGGTCTGCTTTGTCGGGCCCTGATGCAAGCCTGACCATTGATTGCAACATTGCCTGCTTCAGTTTGACCTGCCTTTGTCCTGCTTGCTGGAAATTCTTGCAAACGTCAAAGAAAAGGGACCGCTATGTACATTGATATATATATATATATCTATATGTATGATGGTTTTGGCAGCTCGATTGAAACCACGGCCTCGAACCATTCTGCGCCACACAGACGAGCTCTGCGTCATGATATGCAAGCACGGCCAGCCCTACGCCCGGCCCGCTTTCCCAAACCAAGCCCCAACTCTTCAGAATTGAGAGCCCCTATATAAAGCTGTCTATCTGGGGAAGAAACAAATGGCTTATGCTTCCCTGAAGAATGCTTTCCATTTGTCATTCTTTTCGCGGGCTGCGACGGCTCTGGGTCCGGGGCGGAATCTTGCTCTTGGCCGTTGATCAGGATGGTCCTACAGCACCGGGAATTGACACCCCGGCCCAAAACAACGATGAAAGTGTGAGAGGCCGCCGATTTGGCGATTAAAATCAGTTGCTTGTTGTGGCAGGTGCTATGGGCTTTTGACCCCTTTTCTACACTTTCGGGCAGTCCATACATGTTTCCAACAGTCGAAAAAAAGGACTGCCGGCTTCTGGAGCCAGGCTTAAGAAACGAGCACAGCGTTGCCAAGGTGACAGAACCACTAAGAGGGCCGTTGCTTCAGGCGCTAGCTTGAGGCGGTCCGGGAAATTAGTTTTTTTGAAGGCTGACTTCTTTTCCCTTGAAGCTGAACGCGCAACCGATTGATGCGGATAAATATGTTTCTATAAATTAATCCTCAAACCAACGTTGCAGGAATCGATCGGCAAGCGTCGGCAAGGACCTTGCCCAGAGCGCAAGTTGGGCATGCCCGCAGGATTTTTTCACTACTAGTAGGGTGGCCAGGAAATTTTCGTTTCTCCTTGATTGTCAAATTGACAGAGGTCCAAATTGGGTTCATCTTCTCAACTGGACAACATGTTCCAACTCTGGCTATACATAGTTCATGTGGCTTGTTGGTATGATTCTTGCTGCGATCCAAGAGGTGGTGGTTGTTTGGAGCACACCTATATGGGGGAACGAACTGCCATGCGCTCAATTATGGCCGGTTGGACCCGCATTCAGCGGGTTGGGGCAAGAGGGGAGAAAAGCTGATCACGCAACTTGCATCTGGCCGATTTGTTGTCTTCACACCGGTTGCTTCCCATCTGGGCTCCCTGCGATGTGACCGTCCCCTTTGGGGAGATCAGTGTGATCTGGGCGACGCCCGAAACAGCAGAACTTTGAAGGGACCCCCTCAGTCCCTCGGTTAGTCTCACTCGCCACATTACCAGATTGGAACATGAAACCCACAAAGCCCTTTGTAGAGGAACCTCCTTTTGGAGGTCACACCTCCGTGTTGCTGGAACCGGAGGGTAAAATCTTACGCTCGAACTCCGGGCAAAAACCCATCGAGAAAAGGCCTCTTGCCATGGGAAACAATTGTGGCCCGTCTCACCCGTTGACTTTTGGTTCTGCCGTGCTTCGAAAGGTTGCGCAGGGGCGTGGCAAGGGCAACTTCAGCGCCTGTTACTTTACAAAAGCAACAGATTTGGGAGCACTTCTGTTTGAGGGTACTAATCCGCCGACATTGCTCGGCGTGTCGGATACTTACTAGAGGATAGAGGATAACCCCCCCCCTAACCCCCCCCGCCCGACGTCTATTACGTAGGTTTTTGGGGGGGGAACGTACGGACGGGGGGGGAGGGGGGGGGGGTCCCCCACGTACCGCGCGGCAATTTGATGACGTTCCACTAAACGTAGTCTTCGGGGAGCCGGTGTCGCAAAACAGGGGTCCCAGGCTCGATTCCCCCTGCCGGCTTTTTTGCTGGCTTGGGCTTCCTGCATCCTTTTGCCGAAAATCTGGAAAAACTGAATGTTTTTGGACGTCCTCTTTGCGAAAACGCTGGAAAAACCGTGTGATTTTTTTGCGGGAAATACTGGGGAGCAAAGGGGAAGTGCAAGGATACATACATACATACATACATACATTACAGTACATTACATTACATGACATTACATGACATTACATACATACATACATTACATACATACATACATACATACATGCATACATGTATGTAAGCATGCATGTATGCATGCATGCATGCAAGCATGCATGCACACATACATACATAACGTTATCATACATTACATGCATTTCATTACTTACTTACTTACTTGTTACTT